TGCTAAGTGTGTGTGGGAAGAGGAGAAGGTGTTTCCAGACTTTAGGCCTAAGGAGTAAACAACCACCTCAAAAGAGGGCATTCTGAACAAGTGAGGAATTAAAGTGTAAAAAAAGACTGACGGATCAAGAAAAAAAAAAAAAAAAAAAAAAAAGCACTTTTTATTAGAAATTAAAGAAATTACAGCTTATTAACCCATAACTTTACAGTTTGACAGATCCCCATTTCAAAACATTAGACTGCACTGAGCAACTTGCTACTATTAGGAGGAAATTCTATTAGGAATAAATTCTTCACTGTGAGGGTGGTCAGACACTGGAACAGGTTGCCCAGAGAAGCTGTGGATGCCCCCTCCCTGGAAGTGTTCAAGGCCAGGTTGGATGAGGCTTTGAGCAACCTGGTCTAGTGGAAGGTGTCCCTGCTGATGGCAGGGGGGTTGGAACTGGATGATCTTTAAGGTCCCTTCCAACCCAAACCCTAATTCTATGATTCTATGAAACTTTTGCTAATTAACAATCAATCTAGGAGAGTTTACCAAACAAAAGTCTGATAAAGGAAAAGGAGAGGGGCTGTTCTGATTGAAATCCAAAACCAAAACGTACTTTGCCTCTGCTCTTTAACTGAAAATAGATCATTTCACCATGATCTGACAGGAGAAATAAGCAGCTGTAACATGTTGTACATGTACGGAGTAACTCTGACTCTGCAGACAGCTCAGCGGTCCCTCCCTAAATGAAGAGCTGGACACTGCCAAAGCCAGCTCCCCACTCACAGCACAGACCAACACTAGAGCAGACCGCGGCAAAGGGAGAGCCCTGGCACACTGACGTTTTCTTCCACCCTCCTGCTTACTCAAGTGTAGCCGACAGTGAAAGAGCAACGGCCTGTCAGAGGCTCAGCCCTGCGGCACCCACCTGCGGCGTTGTGTCCTATCGCCACGATAAATTCCGAGCACACAAGCGGCTCCTCGGCAGAGCTTTCCGCCGGCGCGCCCGACTTCAGGCTCCACAGGACGTCGACCTCCCTGGCAAAAGAGGCGGAGGGAAGTGGGGCAGCGCTCCCCCGGCCCCGGCCGCCCGTGGGGGTCCGTGGCGGGGGGA